TGACCTTCGAATTTCTTCACCCAACACTTTTACCTTTTGTGAGGCAAAATAGGTGAAATTCAGTAACATTGCGAAGCCTTCACGTTTCATTGTGGGGAAATTCAACATTTAATACTTCATCACCTCATGTGACCTAGGGAGAATACAATTTTTGACAAGGATCTAGTGATATAATCGAAACCTATTTATTATGAATATAAGATTAGCTTTGCTAAATGGATATGAAGTCTGTTGTGCCAGTTTCGAATGTTATTTGTTTTGGATTGCTAGCAAATCTGTCCACAGACCTGCACTAAATAGTTTAATTCACTCCCTTTGAAGAGTAGACAGGCCTCGAAGAATCTTTTTATAGATTTCGATTCTTGAGAGCGCGATTGATCTGCCCGAAAAGTAATGGCAGAATTTTCTCAGCCTATTGCGGTATGATAAATCTGTGAAGTTAGCAAAGACGCAGTTCTCAGGGTATCATCCCTCAGTTCGAAGATAAGCCTAATGACCAGACTAATGCAGACATGATAGATCTGAGTATCAATCTTGGTAGCAAAGCCAAATTAAAATAATTCGGGAAAATTAAGCAGTTAATCTCTATATACTTTCTATGACATTAAACTACAAGTCAAGCAAATAGTGAATTGAGTACAGGTGTACTTTAAACTCTATTATGACAAATCCGACTAAGTGTGAGTGTGAAATCTCTTATAACTGCATATAGGTCAAAATAGTACCTTGTAATAATTTAGAAATACTTAAGATGAGTGGATAAATTTTAGCAGATATTAGAGATGTATAAAAAAAGGTATATGAATAGTCTTAAGAGACATTATAAAAAAATAGTGTATACACTACAAACCAGATTAGGAGTCTACTAGGAGGATCTGAGCAGGGTGTTTATAAAATAAAAGAGACACAGGATAGTTAGATCTAGAAAATAATAGGTTAACAAATAATTTTGGCAATTATATAGGATTTTTTAGCTATGGGGTTTAAAGTGTGTATCAATTAATATCAAGAACTTTAGAGAATACATAAAGGTGAAGAATGGCTTAAGATTCTTTGGCTACATTCATTACATGACACATGGGAGCTCATTATACATTCATCAGACCTGGAAGACGATGCGAATATTACCAACTAAAAACAAATAAACTATGATAGCTCTAAAGCAATTCTCCCTCAACTTAACGTAGTTCTAGTTGATTTAAGTAGGTTCATTGTAGACGTCTAATCTTGGTTTCCGATTGTTCCTCTCTGATCTCCTAGTCATTTCTTTTCCCAAAATTATAAATATTACCTATGTCTAGTCGTCTGCTTTTTGCTAATATTGCAGCTTCCTAATCTTCTCTAAATTTGTTTAGGCAGTATGCAAAGTTTTCGCTAATGCTGCCTTCTTAAAGTCTCCTGTTCACTAGGTTTCTTTCAATCAGGACATCAATTGCTTCTCGTATCTTGCGTTTTTTTCTATTTTCATTAAATGCAGTCAGCCTTTCTTTCGATCATTTATTTCAAAAAATTAACATGACAAAGACTCAATTGGAAAGTAACGGTTGTAAATAAACGAATATATAGCATCGGAATGCGAAATTTGGTTTTTATTTTCAAAAGTTCATTTTTATATTTTAAAATATTTATTGGCTAACGGGAGTAGTAACGAGAGCGCAGATTGAGACAACATTAGTGAGTGTATGTTTCCAAGTCCCTAAGCAAAAGTTTGTCTGTAAGAAACTTATGGAAATACAGAAGATAATTAGGTATGCACTCGATGGCATTTTAACAGAGCCTCTAATAAAATTTCTGTGAACAAATATAAATGACTGGCAAAAATAGACAAATAAGATTAGCCTGGTGTCATATCCTCAAGAGAGAATCAAGCAAGAGCATGGATTTTAAACGCAAATAGCTTCATCTTGGTAAGTCTGACGGCTACAGCCTTCAAAACTGGGATGGAATAAGCTTCTTTCGCCTGTTCCGAATGCGTCGGCTACCATATAGCTTTCAGCATGACTAGAGTTGCTACCGTAAACAACACGGGTTCTTACATTTCTATCAGAGACGACTTAACCAGTCTCACCGACTTCCACAGTATCTACAAATTCACATGCTACTGCGATTCACCTTGCTGAGGGCATTTCATAGTATCCAATTGATGTAAGAAGAGAAAAACAGAAATGCAATTACAAATTATCTTATGGAGATAGATAATTGTACTCAAAGTGAATAGGAATTCGAAATAGTTCGCATTCCTATATAAAATAGTGAAAATAGGATTTATTTGAAATTGTGACTATTCCTATAAAAAGAGCGCTGTGTTTGACTGCTAGGCGCTTCAGGATACATTATGCATTCATATTTCTAGATGCTTTGCTAATAAAAACTTATTGGGGAAAAATCGTTTAGTAAAAAAAGAATTTTGGTCCTAAAGTAAAATGCTCTATTATATAGTAATAACTATTTTTCGATTCCTTAGCAAAGTCGAGTACATTAAAAGCTTCCTCACCAGCACGACTGGGTCCAAATCGATACTAGCCCTTTCGGATGATGGTTCTTGTCCAACTCGATCTAATTTGGCTAGCCCTGGCTCTTCGGATCCACCAGAAGATCCAATCACTGCAACAAACGGAACAAGTGAACTTGGAAAGCCGGAAGTACAATTAGAAATGAGACGTTGAAGCATGGGAAGACGGTGGAGTAAAGCAAGAGATCGTAGAATGCAGGAGAACGCTAACAGGCTAATGAAGTCGAGGCAGGAGCGCTTTCCAGCGTAGAATGCACAAGAACGCAGCCAAAGACTTGCGCGGTCGGGCTGGAATAGGCCGAGCACTAGCTGCTTGTTTACAGGAATAGCAGTGGAGGCCAAGGAGGTGTTCAGGCGAGGAGAAGTAGTGGCACTACTAGAAGTATATAATAAGGGCTCCTCTGTAGAGTAAGCATAAACCTCGTCAAGCCCACTTTTCAACATTTTCAGAGCAACGTAGGACATCAGAGTTGGCTCCGACGAAAGGTGTGTACAGACGATATCAACTTCCAATTTGGCATCATAGATGCGAAGAACTTGAGCTACATAAGGTAGGATCTAAGAAACAAAAGTGAATAGGGAGTGGGAAGTGAAAATAAAGTTAAATTTGAATCGGAGGAAAAGTAATTTGGAACTTCCATTGAGGCGCCCACAAAGTATGAAGACCTAGATACTATACCTATTGGGATTGGAAAACTATCCTAGGGTGAATAGTCATGTATGGATGCAAAATCTTACGACTCGTTTCTTATATTAGCGATTGACTGATTTCACTTAATCCCAGCCAGTATAAGTTTTACTCATAGTC